GAGTTGTGTCGACATTTCTTTGCTGGCGGACATGATCCTGGGAAACTAGCCCTTAACAGCTCCGCTGTAAAAAAATGGCAAACAATTAAAAGTCAGTTTACCAAACAAAACACTAGAGGCATGTTCGTACATAGAGTAGAACGCCAAATATTTTCTGCCTGCTGGTATGTACAGGAGGAATTTTATACTTTTCTTCTTTTTTTTAGATTTTAGCTTAAACTTTTTGGAGTGGTTTCCTAGGAATGGGGGGTTCTCCAGAGTACAATGCTGAGTTCTTTGGGCTCCCATACTTTCTTGGCCACTGCTCCTGTAAACAAAGCATTTCGCTAGTTTCGTAACTATTTTAGCGAACCCGAGCCACCCACTGATGGATTACTCTCAGCAAAACACTCCTTAGTATGTGTGTCATTGTTTACGAGCTCCATAAGCTTTTGTCCTGCTTTATTACGTCGGTGCAGGGACCAGAAGGGGTTGCTCGGAGCCTTGGCAAATAGGGGTTCGTCGAGATGAAAGGTTTAAGAATCCCTGGCTTAAATTAGAGAGATACTCAGCTCACAAAAAACATTTCTAAGTTCCTCAATAGGGCACATAAGTATGTCACAAATCCCCCCGAAAAACATTTGAAATAATTAGGCTGCGAGACATCAACATTGAGCTAAAATGGTCTTTTGAAAGTTCTTTTTATTCTGGGGTTGATGTCTCGAAATATAGATGCACGTTTCAAAATTGCTTTTAACTCAAAACGAGTCTCTCGTGCAACATAAAGTTTGCACAAAAAGCTTTTCTTGGGGGGGAGGGGGGGGGGAAGAGGGGAGTTTAGTATTTTTTTAGAGACAGCGGCGGAAGTGCATTTGTTACAGGCAGCCTGAACTTGCAATAATTTTACTGCAGTAAAGAAAGAAGGGCAGCACCACAAATACAAAATCTGTTCTGGGTGAAATCGGCGAAAGCGATACGAGGATGCCGGCAGAAAAAAGTAAACACATTTTTTGCATCACGAAAACGAACGGTGCCTCACTTCTTCCTCTAACTCTGTAACGGTAGAGCACAACCGTGGCTCGATACTTGGACAAATTTTTGTCGTTGTCGTTTCGGAAGGCAAATATCATAAGCGCATTTGTACGAAGCGGCCGTTTACACTGGTTACGGCCGTTGAGAGTCCCCCGCCGGGCGCCCGTCGATTGCCTCCTCGCCGTGCAGGGCGTGGATGAACGACATCACGGCCCGCATCACGTCGGACGAACTGGCGCGGGACGTGGCCGGGGCGGAAGCGCTGCTGGCGCGGCACGGCGAGCACCGGTCGGAGATGGACGCCCGGGCGGACAGCTTCAAGCGCTTTTTGATGGCGGGCGAGCAGATCGTGGCCAGCGGGCACTTCATGTCGGACGAGGTCGAGGACCGCATGCGGCGCCTCTCAGACTCCCGGGCTGCCCTGGAGCACACCTGGATGCGGCGCAGGGAGGTCTACGACCAGAGCCTCGACCTCCAGGTCGGTGGGCCTGGCGAGGGTTCGGGTCTCTCTCTGCGGGGCAGCTTCACGCGACACGCTTCCGGCTCGAAAGGTCGCTGAACGCCGTGTCAACCAACTTTCGCCCTACTCGTAACTAATAACTCGAACGAGCGATAAAAACTGGTCGTTCAAGTTATTTTGCGTCGGCCGGTTTAGTCGGCGGCATAAAACGTGTGTTGGCTGGTGTACTGGGTTTGAAACGTAACTCCTTTTATTCGTAGTTAAGGTGGGTCGGCGCTCCAACAAGCGGCACGTCGGAAATGAAAATGTCGCCGGCAGATGCACCCGACGCGAGTCCGAGGGAGAAATATGGAATAAATAAGGGTCGTGCGACCCAACTATACATCCCCGATCCCACTTATTGAGTTCTGTCGTCGACAGGCTCGCTCGCCCTGCTTGTGTGTTTCACCAGCATGAAAAACAGTGTCCAGATAACTAAGGGTCTGCATACAAACTGATGGGGGAAGTGGTGGACGCTGTTCGTCAACGTGGCTTACCGGAAGGGAAAAAGCGTTTTGTGAAACCGTCCTATAGACGCTGCCAGAATGAGAGAGAGGAGTTGTCCCGCCTCCAGCGCAGGCTTTCTACCTCCTGTAATGCTTAGGCATCTCAATGGTGTGCACACCCAAAAGGGATGTTGTTCTCAACTCGCCAGTGACTATTGCTGGTTCCTCGAATGACTGGCCACATTGGGGGTTCTGACATTTAGTTTGTCGTGGAATTTATAGAGCAACTTATCGACGGCGATTGATTTGTCGAGTTACAAACTTGGTTATTGATTGACGTGGTAATTCATTTAATAAATAATTTAATGAGTGCTCATACCGTGTATGGTCATTGTGCTCTGCGTTGGCAAATTAGAATTAATTCAATTCTGCGTTCTTTGCTAAAGAACATTTCCTATGATTTATGCCTTGATAAGAACATTGATGTGTTTAAAGCACTGCATTTACCTGATTTTAACTCGCTCTTGATGGAAACTGTTGTTCATAGGCATTTTTGGGATAGTCAATTTGAAGTTCCATATGTACCTTCTCGTATTCTTAGACCCAAAGAGCGTTACCGGATACCTCGATATTCGACAAGATTTGGAAAAAGAGCTCGGAGTTACTATGTACCAGCATTTATGAACAAACTACCTTCTAGTATTCTAAATTTAAGAACAAAATACAAGCTCAAGAAAGCCCTGAGAAATTTTAGATCGTAAAGTGCTCACTAGTTTGCTTTTGTTATTCTGATTTTTTGTGTGGATCTTATTTTACATGTTTCCTTTTGCAAACGGCATGGTTTCACTGATTTTAAGACGCTGCCAGTCAAGTCCAATGTGGCTTAGGCAGGTCAGACTTAACATACGTTATGTTCATTTGCAATAAAATTATTATTATTATTATTATTATTAAATTATTTTAAGCGTGGTTTATCGGTAAATCAATAAATTCTTCTGATTATAACTTTGTACGGGCTATGGTGATAATGCAATTATTGTGAACGTGTGAGCCAGCTGGACAAGAATAATGATAATTCCTGGAGAAGGGGAAGAAGGGGGACAAAGGAGAAACACAAATCTCCAAACACAGCTAGGTAACTGATGTGCAGCCGAAAAAATCCGCCTGGTCCTGGTATTAGCCCCGAGAAGTTCGCGTGGCGCCCCCTTACGGCGAACCGGGGTGACGTCACGGCGAGGAGAGAATTTTTCCCCGACTCGCCCCGGTCGCCCTGTGGAGGCTGTGACGACGCTAGCTGTCGGCGCGCTCGTTTCTATTTAATCTTTTTTTGCGTGTTTTTTCGTAGGAAGTGTAAATTATTATAAGTGCCTTTATTGAGGTATGGCCTGTAGCTACAGGGGAAACTTCAACCAACATTTTAAGCATGGTTGACAGGGCAGGCAACGCATGAATCGCAGCTGGTATATGGAAATGAAATAAGGCCACAATTGCAGGAGCATCACTATAGATTTACATTTCGCACAATACATGCTGATGATGGTCTGAATAAATTAGCAGGCTATGTATACTATTTTTTTTGGATCTCTGTTTTTAAACAAGATGTCCGAAACAGAAAAGCTGCATGTTGTTCGGGCAACATACTAAATACAGTCTGGGCCATGGAGAGAGAATCACAAGTACGACAGCCCAATTGCGGGGGCAAAGTAAATAAACAAGGAACATTTATAATATACATTGCTCGCATTTGACCTTGGTTGGATTCGGATAGTATTTCAATGGACCAGATGGGTGGTATCTGTAAACTTGTTTATATCAACCCTTGAGTAATGTATAACAAACGTAAGCGAAGGTGTGTAGCTTTTTATTAGTCCCTTAAGCCCTAAAATTGAGATTTTACTTAAATCGAATTGTCCTGAAGCTAAAATATCAAAAGCTTTTCTCACACAGACTGTCGCCCTTCACAGGTTCCACGTTTTCTGCTACTAGTGCTGCATCTACCACTGGACAGCCGTTCGAATGCTTGCTTTTACTCCTGTTTTCCTCTGCTGTCTGAGAGTCCAGCTGTAGGGAGTTTGGAGGCTGAGGAAGCCTTTGGGGACCTGCAGCAGTGTCTCTTTTAATTGGAAATGACAATTCAGACTCAACGCTGTATTTTCCGAATACCAAAGGCTGGGATAAAGAATGTCAGAAAAAAGTATAACCATTCCAAATTATGTCACTATTGCTGTGCATATTTTTGGCAGTTCAATACATATCATACAGGCAACTGGGGGCAATTCAGCCGTTTTTGCTGCTACAATACAAACTAATTTCCAGTAATTGTGCATCTTCTAAGAAATATGCCTGCATACGTGTATAAACTATATAATTAATTCACGAAGAAGCTACATTTATGTAAAACAACGCTGTTCCACGAGCACTTCAAAGATCATCAGACGCAGGGCCTTTAAAACATCTGCGAACCAGTGCATACAGAGTGGCAGCGCAGAGTCGGGGTCGCGAGCTAATTTGCCGACCACCCAAAGGCCCATGATATAAATGCCACTTTAAATGCCTTGAAAGCGGGATGTAATATCGTCCTAAATCATGAACATGCAAGGAACAGAATTCTAGCTTCTGAAACACTCGCGCCACCGCTTCACTGACCCCTCGCAAGATTGCCGTGTGTCTGGACGGACGAGGAGGTTCATCGGCGGAATTGCCTCCGCCGATAGTTTTCGAGGTTTGAAACCCAATTTTAAAGGTAGTAAAAGGGACGAGCAGGCTTATAAAATGTACGGAAGCACGTCAATATCGGCCTAACTCAACGCCTCGTACACCGGGTAAACAAAGTCCAGCTCCCCGAAGAGCTTGCAGCACACAACGCCAAACTGGCCAAACCAGGAAACCGGTGCTGGGAAGCGAGCCGATGCAAGGTCGCGGAGCAAAGTACTCCCCCTGACGTCACAGTACACCTCACCCAATCAGGGCGCGGCGACCGCAGCGACGCTTGTGTTCGCTCTCGGGGCTAATAGAACCCGGGACCTCTCCATTTCCAGTGGAGCGCTCTACCATTTGAGTTAGCTCAGTTGGTAGAGCGCTCCACTAAAAATGGAGAGGTTCCTGGTTCGACACCAGGACCAGGCGGACTTTTTCGGTAGCACATCAGTTACTTAGCTGTGTTTGGAGATTTGTGTTTCTCCTTTGTCCCCCTTCTTCCCCTTCTCCAGGAACTATCATCGTTAGTATGTGCATTATTTATGTATAGGTGAGACACTGAGCCTGATTATTGATTGAATAATTATGGAATGGATTAGATGAGTGCCTGACCTATTCGGGCACAATGTTTTGTTGAGCAATTTATTAATTTTTACTATAATTTATTACGAGGTAACTTCTTTTAGGCTGTTGGTCTCATTTTTGTCGCTTTTATTTATTATTAGATTGATTGCATAAGGAGTTGTTGATCAATTTTATTTTATGACTGAGCAAATGAGTGAATCAGAATCGGTAAATCTATGGGTTGGTTGATATTCATTGAACCAGTAACTTGCATTCCAGTTGTGTTTTGTGCTTTGAGCGAGAGATGCTACTGTCCCCCGTTGGTTCAGCAAAGGGCACAAAGGTAACTTTCTTTGTGCGTATAATGATTTATCGATGATCCACCGAGCTGCTTGGCCTATGTATGCTCAAGTAGAGGGCAGCATACTCGAGATTTGTCCACAACCAAGCATGCTTCATCTATTCATGAGCACTATTTTCTTTCACTGCCTTCCCGTAGCTGTTCCTGCGTGATGCCGACCAGCTGGAGACGTGGTTGGCGGGACGGGAGGCTTTCCTTCGCGACGAAAACCACGGCGACTCCATCGCCGCAGTCGAAGAACTGATCAGAAAGCACGACGACTTTATGAAGACCGTGGAGGCACAGGAAGATCGCTTCAACACTGTCAAGCGAATTACAAAGGTAATAATTTTTTTGGGAGTGTCCCCCCTTAAGTAGGATGAGTCTAGGGAAAAATGAAAGAGCAATCAGAAGGACGATTGCTCTCGGCGACATTTGCGGCCTCGCGTTATGTTTTGCTCCAAGTCTTACAATGAAACCCGTTTAGAACGAACCCACATACAGCGAATGGTTGTCGATATCGACTCATGGAAAATTTAAATAAAAATTGATGTATAAAGTATGTTTTATTACGAACAACATATTGGCTGTATCGAACTTTTTTCCCCCGGGAAGGCTTCCGAAAACGCGAAAACAATTGTCTTCTAACCTGTCCCATTCCCCAAAAAAGAAGTAGGAAAGAAAGGAAATTCCAGAAGCTCAAGTTGCAAACAAAATTGAGCGAAGAGAAATGACTCAGCAGGGGAGAAAGTTAAAAAATACACCCTTCACGCACGCACAGAAAAAAAAAACTTTTTATCCCAATATGTGTGTTCATGAAGAGAGGCGATTCAGAAAGGAAGATGAGCTAAAAAAACTAACAGCGCCCGCATGCAAAAAAAAAAAATGCTTTTTGGCGTTTTGTTACAAGGCGGAAGTGAAGATACAGTTGAACCTCGATGTAACGAAGTCGGTAAAATTCGCAATTTACTTCGTTACATTGAAATTTCGCTAAATCGAAATTTGGCTTTAGCATGCGAAAAAAAATTCTGAAACATTTTACGGGTATGAAAACTCACCGAAAATGACATTTATTTAGGGGCGAAGTAGTCCGCGAGTTTTGCTTGCGCCTTGTCCGACAGTAGCAGCGGCGTCATACGGCGTTCGAGCGCCCAGAGCGCTTGCACGGCATCCTGCTGCCCATGCGACGCCGTGTACCTCCTCAGTACGTCCATTGCGTCGAGCACTTCCCGAGTGCTCGTGATCTCGGCAGTTTCTTCAGGATGGCGTCCAAAACGTTTGCTTTCTCATCCAAAGAAAGAACTTTACGTTTCCTTATGGCAGCAAGCACGTAAGTGAACCGCCCGGTTAAAAAATAAAGCTGTTTAGTTTAGGCAGTTTAGGCGGTGCCAATGTTTCCAACCTACACAGCACTCTTCACCGCACAGTTTACTTGCCCCCTTGCCACCTTTGCGCCCACAGTGATGCTTGCGCCGCTTGCGCCCACGCTCGCAAGACGATAATCGGTCTTTTCGATCTTCTCCTAGATGGCACTGCCCGTGCGGTCGCGCCATCACGTCGCTCCCTTGCTGAAGTTGGCTCCCGCGCTACCCGCGGTGCAGTGGAGTGGACTATGGTTATCAGTGAATGTCAGTGGTGATGCTGGTATGCCGTGTTAACTTTTTGCTCGGCATTTTCTAGCCAGCCTCGCGGAATCCGCTTTGCCGCATGCCTCGCCGGCGCTACCGGCGCCGCATCCTCGGGCAGCCTAGGAACGTTGGAAGGCCTGTCCCCGTGAAGTAACCTATCAAGCGCTCGCGTTTGCGCATAATTTTTTTTTTTTAACCACAATTTTTTTGCGAAGTTGTTTTTTAGAGTTGATTTATTTATTGCCTTCTATGGCAATGGCACTTCGTTATAGACTTAGACTTCGTTATATAGAGACTAAAAATACATGGGGTCTATGGGCAAGAAATTATGAAAAATAAAATACTTCGTTAAATCGAAGATTTCGTTACATTGAAGTTCGTTATATCGAGGTTCGACTGTATAACAAAGAAAGAGAAGCTCTCGCCTTACAACGAACTCATCGTGGAAGTTTGCTGTAAATGTTTTTTTTCTATATCAAACTACTTGCAATATTGAACTGATCGTAGCGTTTCTTGCTGTTCGTTATGAACGGGTTTGACTGTATACCCTTAACAAGGATTGCGCTAGAATAGAGATGAGGAAAGGTGTCCGGTTGTGTTTCAGCTTGAGGAGGCGTTCCGTCGCCTGAAGGTGGAGGAGGAGGAGATGAAGAAGGTGGAGGTGCAGAAGAGAGAGCAAGACAGGGTGGACGCGATGAAGCGCAAGGAGCAGCAGAGGATCCTCGACGTGAGTCTCACCCTGCGGGGGCCCGGTCCCTTTCACCTTCTCCAAGCTGGCACTTCTTTGGGATATGGAACCCCGAGTTGCCATACATTTAGCCTCAAATCACTACAGTACTCTTCTCGGTTTTGGTTTCAGAATCACTAAGACAAGGACATTCCTGAGTTGCTAACCTTCGCATCGGAGATGCTTTCATGCCACAGATCTGATCCACAAATTGATGAATTTCTGGTGACACAAACAGCAAAATTGTTTTAATTCCACGATTGTACGGTCACTTTTTGATTCATATTTATGGTGGTGAAGAACCAGGTTCTAACCATTGTAAGCAGTCGAGAGGTCGGTAATTTTGATAGGAATACATCTTTAATGACAAGGGAAGCTTTTGTCTTGGTCTTGGCATGGAAGGAGTGAATCAACGTAAAGAATAATGCGGGTGTTTAGCTGTTTCGGTCGACGAGTGGCAGAGGAATCGGCCATGCTTTTGGAAAATGGAACTGTTTGTGGCTAGAATCTGAAGCGTCTCAACGGAGCGGCGTGCTCAAGCATGGGATCGTCGCGTGTGCAGGAGCGCATGCGAGAGGACGGCATTCGCCGGGGTGGCCTGCTGGACCTTCCGCCCGGCGACAACGGAGACGTGGGAGGGGGCCTGTCTCGCTCCGCATCGCAGAAGTCTCTGGACAGCGGGGAGACCCGCAACCGGCTGACCACGCCCTCTTCGGTCAAGCGGGCCGAGAGCATGAAGGTGGAGCTGGGCAAGAAGCTCAAGCGCACGCCGAGCTTCACGACGCGTCGGAGGGCGCAGAGCTTCCGACGCTCGGCGCGCAGCAGCGGTGGACTCCCGCCCGTGGAGATGGAAGGGTTCTTGGACCGCAAGCACGAGCTGCAGGCCGGCGGAAAGAGGGCCACCATTCGCTCCTGGAAGACCTTTTACACGGTGCTGTGCGGTCAGCTCCTCTGCTTCTTCAAGGCAAGCCAGTCTTTTGGGCATTCTGTGGGTCATGCGTTGTCCATGCATTTGCTCTGTCGTCGGGCTATAAGAAACAAAGAGCAGAGATTGCTAAAAGAATGCTTGCCTCGAGTTTGTGGTATTCTTAGTTCCATGCGGGTTCATCCTTACTTCTGGATGCTGCTATAGCTTTTAAGAAGCCACGCTGGAGGCGCCGCAAGAAGTCAATCAATGACAGGGCCTGTAGACACTGCAGTCTAGCTAAATTAATCTGTCTCTTGAAACTAAAACATTAATGATAGGGTTATTTGTTGGTATTAGCATAGCATACATAAAGTAACTTTTGAAAATTTCATTGTGCACTTCACCGTCACCATATTTTCTTCGATAGTCTCTTTCAAAAGCCGGTATCCCATTCCCTTACGAACGTCTCTTGAGGGGTTCGCATTTCTAATTCCACTCGCGCATAAGGCTCTAAATAGAGCTAAGATCTTTCCGCACAAAGCCTTCCGCCGTCCGTTTCCCTCACATTTTTAACTCGCCCACGACGAAGGAGCAACTCGCGCTGCCACAAGGAACTTGTGGGTGATGCCCACGGTGCCTAAAGTGCGTTTCCGACCGAAGCGTCTGCCGCATCCTTGAAGGCGTTTTCTCGATTTCTGCTCGACCACGGCGTAAAAAACATTGCACCGTCGCCTGCCACAATTTCACTGGTGGCACAAAAGCGGATGTGGACGTGGCAGACTCTTTGCCGTTTCTTGCTCCGCAGCCTGACTCTCAACGAAAACCAAAACAGACACGAGTTGGGACGCCGCGACGACTCTCACATCCACTCGTCTTTTTTGCCGTCGTTTCTATGACGAAACCGCCACGACATCCAATGGCCCAACAGGTCGCCTTCCACCACGCATTTTGTTGTTGCTTCGTGACCGCTCTCGATGGGTGGGCGGAACGGCGCCGGCGGAAGACACGAGCGTTGACGGCCTCTTTGTTTCCAGGACCAGCAGGGCTTCGCGGACAGCAATGCAGCCTCCCCGCCTGTGAGCCTGCTGCAGGCCCAGTGCTCTCGCGCGACGGACTACACCAAGAAGAAGCACGCATTCCGGCTGCGCCTGGCCGACGGGGTGGAGTTCCTGTTTGTGGCCCACAGCGAGGCCTCCATGAGCGACTGGGTGAACAAGGTCTCCTTCCACGCGGCCCTGCCCCCGAGCCTACAGCTGCTGAGCT